ACGTACATCAACTCTAAAATCTTTTCATCCCGTTTCAACAACCCCATAATATCAGGCTTCTTTCCCATTCGCTCTTCGTCTAGTCTTATACTTCGTCTAGCTTTGCTTGCTAGACTCTGGCGCTCAGCCGTACTTAAACAAACAATATCGCCTCCCAAACTCGATCGAAGCAAAGGAATTATAACGTCAGTCACATAAGTACCTTCACTGCGAGATGTACTAGTCATAAATGCGGGATTATGCCATATCTCGCCACTAAATGCATAGAATACACCGATATGGTTAGATAAAAGTGTACTAATAACATGTGAAAACGTATATCATTTATCAGGAAATTACTTAACAGTGTTCCAAGAATACGTTCGGTTATTTTTATTATCGTACTTTCACATTTTATCATGGGAAGTATTCCTCATAACCCACGAAATATTCGAATTGTTAAAATTACTTATAAATTCATTACACTTCGTCGTAACTGAATCGGGTATAGCACATTTCATATTTTCTCGTGGTTCTAAAAAGGTACTCTTCTGTCTACGCCCTAGGTTTTTTACCATGAATGAGTCGTCGCTAATAACCATACTCGCTTCGGATCACGCCATGTAAGATTCGACACATCTACATTCTCGAGAGTTTGTCTAGTGTCCCGTAAAGACTCACATCCGCTTCCGATGCAGGGTGCTGGATATATAATACTATTAGTTTTGAGAGTAATAACGCTTTATATTATTTTATACTTGCCTCAAGTTTATATTTTAATTATTTAATATTCTCTTCTATTTCTTCTCGAGAACGATCTGGATACAAATCCTTTTCTATGTTCAATGCCTTGAATGCTTTAAGACCTCAAACACTAATATATCCACACACTCTCAGCCTATGGTAAATGCATTAATATGTAGGTTAGTTAATTTCAAAGTTAGAAGTTATCCGTCACCGCACATGTGCGTTTTCAGAATTATACGATGTCATTGTTTTGGCTGGATAGTCACGCACAGTTAGAGAGGAGCAGAAACCCTCTACATCTAGAAGACATAGCTCTTCCGGGCCGGCATTCCCCAACCTTTAGCTATGACATACCAAAACTAAATATCCACATTTACCATAGAGTCATCATTAAATATTGGCTGGAGCCAGCACGGCTGATATCACATAATCTGAATTTTACCAACCTGGGATAACACTTCCAATGCTTTCGTTTTTCGTTCAATATCTTCTATTTTCAACAGAGACGAATTTACCGCACGATCTATAACTCCTCTTACATACTCGAAAGGGGGTAAATTGTTGTTTTCTATTGCCAGGTAAACTGCGGACGCACCACAAAGACTGTCTAATGGCTCTTCTATCAAAAATGCTTCAATTGTAGATACTAAATATGCCATGCTGATAAGTGTTCGGTTATGAGAAAATGAAATCGCTGGTAAAAGAAGCGACAAAAACTACAACGTAAATATACTGTCCTTTTAAACGTTCCTCCGCTCATTTCCGGTCTCATTTAGGTACGGGAATAGTAGATTCAGGGAATGTGAAACTGGAGCGATGCAGGCCTCCTTAGCTCTAGTTAAATCGATAACAATAAAATCTCTACCTTGCAAATTTTTATCAAGTATATCGACAACATCGCGCCATTTTTTTGTATATCGCGGGCAATATTTACTAGCTCATCATATGTACCTGCGCCATTAAAGAGTACGATATAATCCAGATTTTTTCTTATTAGTTTTGGACAGTC